GGGACTTTTTGTAGATATAAGGATGGTTTTGTTACACCCAGATATTATAATATAATAATATAATATAATCCTTACGTTTGATATAGCACCTGATTACATCTTCTTGACGTTAATAATAATATTAATAAAAATCTTTGCATTTAATATGACGCCTTTTCTCATCGGTAGGATGTCTCAAAGCTCTTCATATGATTTACTTAAAGTGTAGTGACTGTATTTTGTGGGTGAACACAGCAGCCAATTTTGCACACTTCTGCGTCCCACAAACAGCTATGGGAGTTTATTCTGGATAAGGCATACATGTTTCCTAGAGACTTCCAGCAAGTAGGACATAGCACAGTCAATCACAGTCCTCTGTGCACTTAGGGAGTTTTACAACAACAGCAGCAAATCACTTTTGTATAGCACCTTTCACGTCAGGAGGACATCCCAAAGCGCTGGACAGTCAGGGATCTGCAACCAAGCTGGTATTTGGGATCAGGAGGGGTGGATGATGGGAGGATCCTTGTTGTTTTTGTGACGTGCTTTGTGATGTTTTCCTGACACAAAAGGTGCTTTATAAATGTGAAATTGTTGTTGTGGTCTCTTTTGGGTTGCATATTGTGTCATGAGAGCATATCAGACTGTCAATCTCCCACACAGCAGCTCCGAACAGTGTTCTGAACACTCTGAAAAGTTACACACATTTTGTGGGGTCAATAAAATTTTTATTAAACATCAAACCAAAGTACAGAACAAACTTTAAAAGCCACAATGTTTTGGGAAATATCATTCATGAAAAGCACAGAAAGAAATTTATTAGGCAATATATAAAATTTGCATGCATAAAACATAATTTAAGGTTAGTATCAAATACTCTTTTTATTAAAAAGGGTGTTCAACTTGAGAGATTCTTGCAGAGATTTTGAATTGTTGATCAATTAACAAGAACATAGAGTGAATTATTACCATTGCACCCCACATGCCTACATCACTGACAAAGTGTTGCCAAGTATTTAGATTTTGCATGATTACACAGAGATATAAATATGCTCTTATAGGTGGTGGTCCAACCTTTCCACGGTCATAAGCTCTGGAGTGCTCTGCCATTGATGCAACCTATAGTCTCCTCTGTGTTGCCATGTGTTTGGCAGATGAGCTGGGTAAAAGGTGGTAGTACTGTGTTCATGATTTTTCTTTTTATCTCAGATTAAACTGTAAAATCAACCGATATCAACACAATTTATAGTTATATAGCACCTTTCATATCAGGAGGACTTCCCAAAGCACTTAATAATGCTGGCTGGGACAACTGAGCAGGGTTGGAAACCAAAGGGGGTAGGGTGGGGGAAAATGACCTAAAACAAGGATAGAGGGATGTTTTGAAATGTATGAGGTGAGGAGGGAGCGAGTTGGAAGGACTCCGTGATGGGAGTTCCAGAGAGTGGGGCAGAATGATTAAATATCAATTAATCACCCAATCATGAACAGAGTTGCCCTTTGGATCTCTTAGTGCCTTAAATGTTTAGGTATTAGATTTCCTTCAGACATAGAACCCATAATCCTCCTCAACCTAAATAAAATTATCTTGCATATAAAAGATGAATACAGAGAATGGCCTATCTTTAATTTTGGTTCTGGATAAGATAAAATTCTTGTCAAGATTAATTAAGAGTCAGCCCTTTCAATTGTTCCAACTCTTTGTAGCAGTGAAATATAAACCCTATCTACTCCTCTCATCTGGAAGAGTTTAATGGTGCCTCATTTGACTGTCAATCTCTCATAGTTGTTACTGAATCTAAATCTTGAGTTTTTCGCTAGTGACGGAGGAGTGAACTGACTTTTGCTTCAGTCGATCTGCATTCAACCTCTAACTTACCAATTTACTAATTTACCAACTAAACGTTCCTATCATTCCAGCCTCCTAGATTCTCTTTGGGAGACTGGAATATCTTATCCAACTAAGCTGCGTAAATCGCTCATTGATTTAATTTGGCCAGCAACCAACAACAACAACAACAACAAGATTCCATTTATAAAGCGCCTTTCACGTCAGGAGGACGTCCCAAGGCGCTGCACAGTTGGGTCATGACCCGAGCAGGGGGGAAATGGTCAGGGTGAGGGGAGGGAAGGGAGGGAGCGAGGAGGGGGGAAATGGTCAGGGTGAGGGGAGGGAAGGGAGGGAGAGAGGAGGGGGGAAATGGTCAGGGTGAGGGGAGGGAAGGGAGGGAGCGAGGAGGGGGAAGAGAGTCGAGAGGGGAGCTGAAGGCACGGTCAAAGAGAAAGGTTTTGAGACCGGCCTTGAAGGAGGAAAGGGAGGAAGCAAGGCGAAGGCACTGGGGGATGGAGTTCCAGAGCCTGGGGGCTGAGAGGCTGAAGGCCCGACCACCGATGGTAGGGCGGTTGGGGCGGGGGACGTGGAGCAGACCGGAGCCAGAGGAACGGAGGGTACGGGCAGGTAGGTGGGGATAGTAGGTTGGAGAGGTAGGAGGGAGCAAGGCCGTGAATGGCCTTGTAGGTGAGGATGAGGATCTTGAAATCAATCCTATTACAGAGGAATGGATATGTGGATCAGTTGCTCAGCAAAAGCAATTGATGCTCTGCTGATCCAGTCCTCTTCTTTCTTCTCTGGATTTCACTTTTTCCCTAATTTCCTCTAGATTTCCCTTTTTCATCTTTCTTCTCTGGATTTCCCTATTCTTTTTCTTTCTCCTCTGGATTTCCCTTTTTTCTTCTTTCTCCCCTGGATTTCCCCGTTTTCCCCTCATTTCCTCTGGATTGCCTTATTCTGTATCTTTCTCCTCTGGATTTGCTTTTTTCTCCTCTTTGCTCTGGATTGCCCTTTTTCGTGTTCTTTCTCCTCTGGGTTTTCCTATTCTTCTTTCTCTTCTGGATTTCCATTCTCTTATTTCTCCTCTGGGTTTCTCTTTTTCTTCTTCTTTCTCCTCTGAATTTCCCTTTCTTCTTCTTTCTCATCTGGATTTCTCTTTTTGTCTTCTTTCTTCTCTGGATTTCCTTGTTTTCCTCTCTTCTCCTCTGAATTTCCTTTCTTGTTCTTCTTTCTCATCTGGATTATCTTTTTTCTCCTTTTTCCTCCTCTGGATTTCCCTTTTTGTTTTCTTTCTCTTCTGGATTTCCCATTTCTTCTTATTTTCCCACTTGATTTCCCATTTCTTCTTCTTTTTACCCTGGATTTCCCATTTCTTCTTCTTTCTCCTCTGGATTTCCCTTTTGTCCTCTCTTGTCTTCTCTTCTCAGGATTTCCCTTTTTGTTCTTCTTTCACCTCTGGATTGTCCTTTATCATTTCCTTTCTCCTGTTAGTTTCCCATTTCTTCTTCTTTCTCCTCTGGATTTCCCTTCATCTCTTCTTTCTCCTCTGGATTTAATTTTTTTGTCTTTGTTCTCTACTGGGTTTCCCATATCTTCTTCTTCTTGCACTGGATTTCCCATCCGTTATTCTTTCTCGACTGGATTTCCCATTTCTTCTTCTTTCTCCTCTGTATTTCCCATTTCTTTTTCTTTGTCCTCTGGATTTCCCTTTTTCTTCTATCTTCTCTGAATTTCCCTATTTCTTCTTCTTTCCCCTCTAGATTTCCCTATTCTTCTTTCTCTTCTGGATTTCCCTTGTTTTCTTGTTTCTCTGCTGGATTTCCCTATTTTGTCTTCTTTCTCATCTGGATTTCCCTTGTCTTCTTTCTCCTCTGGATTTCGCTTTTTCTTATTATTTCTTCTCTGGATTTCATTTTTTTCGTTTTCTGGATTTCCCATTTTTTCTTCTTTTTCGTCTGGATTTTCCATTGTCTTCTTCTTTCTCCTCTGAATTTCCCCTTTCTTCTTCTTTCTCATCTGGATTTCTCTTTTTGTCTTCTTTCTTCTCTGGATTTCCTTGTTTTCCTCTCTTCTCCTCTGAATTTCCTTTCTTGTTCTTCTTTCTCATCTGGATTATCTTTTTTCTCCTTTTTCCTCCTCTGGATTTCCCTTTTTGTTTTCTTTCTCTTCTGGATTTCCCATTTCTTCTTATTTTCCCACTTGATTTCCCATTTCTTCTTCTTTTTACCCTGGATTTCCCTTATCTTTTTCTTTCTTCTCTGGATTTCCCCTTTTTCCTTTCTTCTCTTCTGGATTTCCCTTTTATCCTCTTTTGTCCTCTCTTGTCCTTTCTTCTCCTCCGGATTTCACTTTCGTTCTTCTTTCTCTTCTGGATTTCCCTTTTTTTGTCTGCTTTCTCCTCAGGGTTTCACTTTTTCCTCTTTCTCCACCAGATTTTCATTTTTTTTGTCTTCTTTCTTTCTTTGGATTTCCTATTTATTTTTTCTCCTCTGGGTTTCCCATTTCTTCTTTTTTCTCTACTGGATTTCCCATTTCTTCTTCTCTCTCCACTGGATTTCACATTTCTTCTTTTTCCTCTGGATTTCCTATTTCTTCTTCTCTTTCATTTGGATTTCCCATTTCTTCTACATTTTTCACTGGATTTCCCTTTTTCTTTTACTTTATCCTCTGGAATTCCCATTTCTTCTTCTTCCTCCTCTGGATTTCTCATTTGTTCTGCCTTTTCCTCTGGATTTCCCTTTTGCCCACAAATATTCAGTCAATTTACTTTGCAGCGTATTGTGTGAAGCGCTTTGAGAGGTCTAGAAGACATGAAAAGCACTATATCAAGTGCAAGGATTATTATTATATTGTTATTATATTATTATATTATTATTATTATTTTCCTATTTCTTTTCCCACTGGATTTCCATGTTATCCCCTTTTCTCCTCTGGATTTTGTATTCTTCTCTCTTCTCTGGATTTCCCCTTTCTTCTGGTTTCTCCTCTGGATTTCCCCTTTTCTTCTTATTTCTCTCTTAGGTTTCCATTTTCTTCTTCTTTCTTCTTTGGATTTCCCGTTTTTTTCTGCTTTCTCCTCTGGATTTCCCATTTCTTTTTCTCTTTCCTCTGGATTTCCCATTTCTTCTCCTCTCTCCTCTGGATTTCCAATTTCTTCTTCTCTCTCCGCTGGATTTCCCATTTCCTTTACTTTTTTCTCTATATCACATTTCTTTTTCCACTGGATTTCTGTTTTATCCCCATTTCTCCTCTGGATTTCCCATTTCTTCTTCTTTCTCATCTGGATTCCCCCTTTTTTTCCCTTTAGGAGGCAAAAAGATAACAGGAAAAATAGGGAAATTCAGAGGAGAGCAGGGATAAAAATGGAAATCCAAAGAAGAGAGGAAAAAGGGGACTCCAAAGAAGAAGAGGGGAAAAGAAGAAATTCAGAGGGGAATAAAGAAGAAATTTAGAAGAAAACAGGGAAAAAGTGGAAATCCAGAGGATAACATGGAAAAAGGGGACATCCAAAGGAGAAGAGTGGGGAAAAAAAGGAAGTCCAGAGGAGAAGAGTGGAAAATAAGTGAAATCCAGAGTAGAAGAGGATGGAAAAGGAATATCTAGAGGAGAAGAGTGGAAAAAAGTAAAATCGAGTAGAGAAGTGGAAAATAAGAGAAATCCAGTGAAGAGTTGAAAAAAGGGAAATCCAGGGGATAACAGTGAGAAAAATGGTAATCAAGACGACAAGGGGAAAAAGTGAAATCTAGAAGAGGAGCCGAGAAAAAGGTTTTCTATATATATTTAAAAAGTTGTTTTTGGGGGAGAATTAAAAGATTTGTGGCCGCCAAGCTGCTGACTTTACCCTCCCAGTGTCTACTTCCCTAATACTGTTTGCATGGTAACGCTTTGCAAAATGTTAAATGTCCCCAGTTTGTCTGTCTAGACAAACACAATTTCTTCTGCAGAAGTGTTTTTTTTCTAATTTCTTTCCTCCTCCCCCCTCCTCCCACTGAGGGAGGTCTGGAATGGCAATGCACACAAGGTGTGTCTTTTAAATATTTACCTCATTACCTCAAAATATTTCACAAGTATAGTAGAGTCTCTTTAATGTGGCCCATACAATCGGTTGGCTGACTTCCTGCCCAACGGGTCACTCCTGACGTTACCTTCTGTATGGGAGTGCCGTTGGTATAACCTAATGACCTGAAAATTGGCCATTTTGTAATGTGCAGCAAGCTACATGCAGGGTTATTAAGTGTTTGCTATTGATAGCACTGTCTGGCAAGCCTCTGCTGATTGTCCAGCTGGGACCATCGTATCTTGTTAGGGCTTTGGCTTGCAGGGTTAGCAGGAACCAAGTGGGAAGGATGCCAGCGTCCCCAGTGACTGTTTTGCCCTTTGCAAGTCCTGCCGATGAGCCAGGCTGGCTGTTCTGTCATCACTAGTGCCCAGGAGTATTGTGGACACACCTGGCTCAAGAACTGGCCACAGAGGATTGACTCAATTCTCTATGTGTATTTGAAGAGGAACTGGCAGCCAATCTGTACACAACAATGTCCCACAAAACAACCATGAAGCCATTTCCCAAGGATCTTCCTCTGAATACTCAGACAATAGAAATGTAATCTTTGGACACAACCATGCAATAATGGTAATACTGTGTGAGGATAAGAAAAGATAGTTATTTGGGCATTTTGGTTGATTACCAACCGATAGGGATCAAGGAGATACTTTGCAGAGGTGTCCCTCAGATAATTTATAAAATAGTAATCCTTGCATTTGATATAGCACCTTATCACATCATTATGATGTCTCAAAGCGCCTTCACAGAATATATTGTAAAGTGAATTGATTGCATATTTTGTAGGCGAAACATGGCAGTCAATTGCACACAGCAGTGTCCCATAAACAGTCGTAGATTGAGTGACCAAAATTATTTTTTTTAGGGATTATTAACCCTGGAAAGTAATCTGTCAATCAACTAACAACCTAGTTCCTACTTACTGCTAGATAAACAGAGGAGTGTAGAGCAAGGAAACTTGCTAAGGTATTGCCCCAACTGGGAATCAATCCTGTGTCCTCTCTCTTTCAAGGTGAGCGTGCTAACCATTACTCTACAAGGCTCCATAAATTTATGGTAGGGTAGATTACACAGGTTTAACTGTTAGCCATTTGTCATTTCTCACTTTTTTTATGTTCTTAAATCTGGCCTTTTTTTCCTCATGGAAGGGGAGAGGGAACTTTCACATACTTCCTGTTTGGAATCCTATTGATTACTCCAATTATACAATAAATGTGTTTTGAGCGGGCTTGAGGAATTCATTAAAGCAAACAGTGAGGATTAATTGGAATCTGGAGCATACATGCTGAGTGGTAAGTGGTGAACACTGCCTGCTGGGGTAACCCTTTGTGACCTTATACTAAATTCAAAACAAGAATTTTCCCCATATGTTTCCTTTCACCAACACATATAACTGACTGCATAAATAATAGATAGACGGATAGATCAGAACTAGACACTGGTACCGATATATTGATTGACTTTAAAGAATGAATTGCTCGGTCAGCAAACACTGGAAGGACACACAAGTGGATATGTTGTCTGAGAGGATTAGTACCTCATCCCCAACTGAAAATGCTAATCTAATTAGTACACCTTAAATAAACACAGATAAATAGGATTATAATACAAATTGAATGCAAATTTTGCAGTAATATTGTGTTAACATATTATTAATGTGTTTCACAGTGCTTTATCCAACTTTTTATTAACCTACTTTATTAATTCACTTCACTTTACAGTGAAATCCTGTGAAGTACTTTAGGACATTTCAGTGACTTGATTAGGTGCTAATTCAAATGCAAGAATTATTATTGTAATTATTAATAATAACCATCATATACGTAAGGGATTGTTCTAATAAAACAGTTTTGTACCTCTGTGTTACTAAATTTACACACTGTAAACACTTCCATAAATCTTAATTTTGAAGACTTTTAAAAAATATGTCCTCAATTTCATGTTTAAATGAATAAGGTTTTTTGGTCCATTTAATCTCCTGTCACAATACTGCCTTTAATAACTGGTAAATGAGTTGAGTGTCCTAGCCTTAATCGCTTTCCTGTAAGCTTTCCAGTTGTTGATTGTCATCTGTTTAAATAAATACTTCCTGATGTCTGGCCTAAAATTGCCTTTCACAACCCTGGACGTTTGCTTACACAATACACAGTCACTACACTTTACAATAAATCCTGTGAAGTGCTTTGAGACATCCTCTTGATTAAAAGGCACCAAATCAAATGCAAATGATTATTATTATTATTGAACATCTTGTCCTGGTGTCTTGGCATATCTTAAAGTATTGTTAGGTGTTTACGTTTTCCTATTTAGCATCTGATATGTATCTGTATGAGGTCCCATGTTGAAGTCTCCTTGCAAGGCTCTTTACAAGGCTGAAAAATAAAAATAATAATCCTTGCATTTGATATAGCGCCTTCTCACGTCTTTGAGATGTTTCAAAGCGCTTCGCAGAATATACTGTAAAGTGAATTGACTATATATTTTATGGGCAAAAAGCACAAGCTTTTCTAATTCTTCCTGATAATTCAAAATACAAAATACAAAATATACAGTGAATCCATTTTACAGTATATCCTGTGAAGCACTTTGAGACGCCTCGACAATGTGCTAAGGCGCTATATCAAATGCAAGGATTATTATTACAATTGATCCCTTTAACAATGGGGATTATTTCCATTCTCTTCCCTGCATTGCTTCTTCAGTTCTGTTGGTCTTTGCAGTCATCCAGGGTGAGGTGCAGCTGCAGCTGTGCTTGTGCGTCTATTGGCTTGTCCTTGTACCGAGGGTTGTCCTGGAAACACAATCAGGCTGCAGGAGGATCGGGAATACACGGCTTCAGCTCTCCGGTCTGGCACGGATCCCAAACTGGTGGATCTGATGGAGTGGAGGAGATTCTTTGATTTTTTTTCTTCTATGTCGAACATTTAGCTTAAAATAGCAAATGCACAATCATTTGTCTTCAATGAACCTACTGTTAAAAACTGAATTCAAGTAGCATTGCTTATCCAAACCTTGTTAGCAAGAGCAATAGTCTAGATTTTTGTTTTGTGCACTCCAATTCAGTCACTGAGGAAACATACAGTTTACTGGGTCTAAATAGTGTTGTTCTGTTCATTGAATCGTCCCCTGGTGAGATTGCAATTGTCAGAGGCTAGTGGTTATCTATGAATTAGATTACATCCAGAATGTCAGTGGGCGATCAAACTGACATTATTTCAATCAGGTTCCCTTGTAGGTTGACACATGTTAATTTAGGTATTGAAGTCCTCTATTCTGGTGGCAGACATTACATTTGTCATTACAAGACAAGTCAGCCAGGTAAGAGTGCTTCATGTTACCACAGTGACGTTTGAGTGATTACACTTGGCCTGCTGGGCTCACAGCTGTTATTTTCAGGCTCTTTGGCAAAACAAAATAGAAAGACCCTCTTCCATTGCTTTATTACGTTTGTGGATATCCCACTCTCTTTTTGCTGTTTTTGGAATCGTCCAACCTAACTTCATAGAAACCCATCAAGTCTGTGCTGGCGTTTTTTGGCACAGGACTTCTAAAAAATAATTAGATGAGCGTGGGTGTTGGGAGGAAAGAGAGAGCCGTGCAGTCTCTCTCGTTCCTCCCAACACCCACACCCATCTAATTATTTTTTAAAGTCCTGTAGCGTATCAGTTAGAGCACCCTCCTTGCAAATGAGAGGACCTGGATTTGATTCCCGGGCAGGACGAAATGTTGGGTAAGTTTCCTTACTCCACACGCCTGTGTTTACCACCAGTAAGTAGGAACTGGTTGTTAATCGATTAGCAGATTGCTTTCTGTGGATTGCTTTGAAACAAAATGGATCAGTATATTTCAGAGAACTCTTAAAGACTTAAACAGAAGGAATCCCTTCATAAAAAATATAAGAAGGTAATAATTTGGTCACTCAATCAATGACTGTTTGTGGGACGCTGCTGTGCGCTATTGGCTGCCACTTTTCGCCCACAAAATATACAGTCAATTCACATTACAGTATATTCTGTGAAGTGCTTTGAGATATGATAAAGCGCTATACCAAATGCAAGGATTATTTTATAGTCACTTTTGCTCTTTCCCATTTTATTTACACCATTACTTCTCAAGGTTCAACGCATGTTGACCACCCTCCATTATTTTACTGAGGGATCATTCTTCTTGTTCAAGCCTAGAAACATAATATCACCTAACTTAGAAGCACTAAGATCATTTGCAACACCTCTATTGCTAAGCTGGTTGCTAACTCAACTCAAACTGTGTTTTGAACCTGAGACATTCCGGATCTGTATAGTATATCCTAGCTCTATCAACTAAACCATTTGAGAGCTTGAGCGGTTGCATTTTAAATGAAAATAAAACAAGGTATGATAAATTAATAGATTTTGTGTTGACATGATTTGTATGACGTGGACAATGAAGTGTAAAGTATTTCTGGTCACTTGCTGTGTTGCTTGTGTTAAATGAAGGCCAGGTTGAGATGGTTTAATGTCATTGTCCTCTAGATGGCAATATATCTACTTCAAACATGTACATAGTACAACAGGAAGTTCTTACATCCTCCTGGTCAGATACCTGTGGGATACACCAAAAGGATTCTTTACGTTGTCTGTGTAACTCAATAACAAAATCACTTCAAAAGCAGAGAGCAAACACAATCAAGCATTTCAGCTAGCCCGGTTGTAAGATACTAACGGCTGTCTTTTTGCTGCGTACAGTAAGAATTAGGAACTAGAAGGCACAGATTTAATTGTCAAAAGAGAAAGGGAAGGGGTTAAGAGGATTTGTCTTACCCACAACGGAGGACTCAAAATGTGGAACATCTTACCTGGAAAAGTAGTTGAGGCAGAATCAACACTGTATTCACTTTTAAGAGGGAATGAGATCAATATCCAAAAAGGGATATAAAAGAAATCTAAAAGGGTGAAGGTGGAAAGCGAAGGGAAATGCGGCTAAACAATTACCTTTTTCAGTGAGCTATAACACAAGATAGGCTGAATGACCTCCTTTTGTGGTGTAAATTCAATTGTTCTATACTGGGGTTTAATAGGCAGAAATCTCTAATTACATTCCTTAATAAGAAAACAGTAATTATATCACACTGACCTCAGAGAACTCCTTCCGATGCAATCAACTTTCGGAGATGAGGTGTCATGAGTCGTGGTTTACCAGAGAGAGTTTTGGTTGAAGCAAAGGTAATGGGAGTATTTAAGAGGAACCTTGATGCATATATGATAGAGAAGGGAATAGAGGTGTATAGAAGAGAGGATTAGGAGAGGTGAAGGCTTGTAAACAAGGGCGCGTATGAGTTGGACCGAATAGCCTGTTTCCATTCCATATATCACATTCTATGTGATTTACTATGAGTTCCCACTTACACCTCTTATTAAAAATCTCATTAATAACATGAGAGATTATGAGATCTCGTATGAGACCCCACTTTAGGCAATTAATAACATGATTTCTTAAATAAGAAATCGGAAGTATGTTATCCCAACCAGGGTAATTCTGCTTCTACATCTACATTCAGAATAAACTCTTCCTTTCATTATAAGGAGTCCTTATCCACTCAGATATATTTTAAGGAATCCTGTTAGAAATCACCACATCAGCCCTACAGTTTTAGATAATAATGGATATTATCACTCTGAATTAATATTAGCTAACATATAGATTTCTCTCCTCCTGATTTGGGGGAGGTACGTCAGTGTAGATTTAGTGAAAGTTTGTAAAGTGGTCTGAAAAAGTAGAGGTATCAAAACACTGCCTTACACTCCATGAAACAAGACGTCTCTACCATAAACACACTAAGCTTGCGGTATGAGAAGATCAGAGAGATAGGGATGTGCTGGAGTGTAAAGGGATTTATAGGAGAAAAATCTCCTGACACAATTTAGAAAGAAAACATTTTCTCCCATTGTGGCCTGGCCATCAATCCCTGGTAAATTAATCATTCACAACTTGGCTCTTTATGGGGCCTTGCTGCACTACATTTGATTTGAAAACATTTCCCCTGTGAAGCACTTTGAAACAATAACAGTACCATATCAAATGAAAAGATTATCATTTAATTACTTTGACTGGCTTTGACTGCAATTTTGGTTGCAGTGATAATTATCACCAGTTAGCACATACCAAATTTCTGGCCAAATATTATAATAATTCTTGCAGTTGGTATAGTGTCTTTCACATTGGCAGAATGTCTCAAACCGCTTCATAGGATTTACTGTAAAGTGTAATGATTATTCTGGAGGCAAATGTGGCAACCAATTTGCACACTGCAATGTCCCACAAACGACCTTGAAGCGAATGAGCAATTTTATCTGAGAGATTGTTGGTCAGAATGGAAAACTCAATGTTTTTACTGGTTTTGATTTTGTAAAGTTTAAAAGATAGCCTTCATTAAGTCACAAAATAAACTTCTTCCTCTGAGTGAATCTGAACTTCAATAGACATTTAATCCCCTGACATTTTGCAAGCTGTTAGGATTGAGTCTTGGCACTGGACTGTGACATCAAATCCTTGACTGACCTACCAACGAAACAAATATGCAGCCAAAGCTGTCACTGAAGATGATGCTGAGGGTGATGGACGTAAAGCCTACAAGCACATTCAGTCGAATCTTTGGGTTTGTATTTTTTGCTGACAGACTCTTGGTTCTACAGAGTGTGGATTATCCTGATAATATGACAGTTCACTGATTAAGATTCAGGCCATTCAGTTAAAACAGGATCGAAGACTGGAGGTGAATGGGATAATGTCACGTAGCACAGAATGATCAGTGACAGTTCTGTCAAAACCTTGCTTTAGCGACCCTGTGCCCATTCATCAGCAGCACTGCCTGACACTCCAGTGCAATGCTGGTGGAGTGCTGCATTGTCAGTGCATTGTCTGCTTGTTCAGATACACATTAAAGATCCACTGGCACTTTTGGAAAAGAAAAGGCAGTTTCTTCCAGTGCCGTGGCCAGCAATTCCCCAAACCAAACATTGATCATTCACTTCATGGCTGTGGGCAAATTGGCTGGTGCATTTTACCACCAATACACAGTTACTACACTTTACAGCAAACTAGGTGAAGCAAATTGAGATGTTTCAGTTTGACAAGACCTTGAATTCAGTCGGGGAGGGGAAGGAGATGCTGCAAGTGTTTGCTCTTTGTGTCAAAGTACATCAGAGAGAGTCAGTTGATTAAGTCCTTTGCATTAGGAGTTTCATGAAGATCCCATAGCTCAGATCACCTACAAAACACACAGTCACTACACTTTACAGTAGTATGCTGTGAAGCACTTTGAGATGTCCTCCTAATGTGCAAGGTGCTATACCAAATGTGAGGATTATTATGATTATTAATTTTATTAGATACTTTGGAGCAGAAGGTCAACAACAGGCTATAGCTGATCATTCTCCTGGAGCATTATGTGTCACAAGATCTATGGCACACACACAGTTACATCGAGTGACACTTGATATCTTAAATCATTAGCACTTCTTAACACATGGGTTTGTACAGGAGCCCTCGAGTGGAAAATGTGTCCCGAGACAGGAGATATATCATAGTACACCGTATCCCTGCAGAGTTTCCCCTGTTTTCATTAGTGGCAAAAGTCATTTAATGAATTTCTCTCTTGATAATAGCAAGCACTTTCAGCGAGAATTTTTGACTCCTCTCTCTTTTTAGATTTTAGCGTTGATAAATAATTACTTATTTCTCTGACCTAAGATGCTTTGGAAATAATTGTTGTTGTTCTATCTTTATTGTATCTGCTGTTAACAAACCACGGAATTTAACAATTTGCTCCGAAATGCTCCAAAATTAGAGTTAATAGTGGAATTTTTACCTTCACTGTGTATAAGTCAGAATTAGTTAAAATGATTTGCTCTTCATTTATATTAAGGTAGAAATAATCATAGAATCA